AGTGCCCACCTGTAGCTAAGGGAGACAACCAGCTATTGTTTTAAAACAATGGATAAATTTTTCCCCCCCATCTAGAAGCCTTTGAGAGGGAACTGACACTGATTCTGGCCACTCCAACAGCTATCAAAGTGCCTGAAAACAAACCCTGAATCCATCACTCTATAGTCCAGCCTTGGCAGACAAAAGAAAAATGAGGAGGAACTGAATAGAGGGATGCTTTTGGAAGCTCTCATCCAGAAATTCCAATGGACTTGGATATGAACATTTGAAATTTGCCCTATTCTGATTTTTTTCCGGTTCTCTGTCTAGAACTTGTAATGCTAATTACTCTTGTCTTTACATCTCCTTCACATCTCCTATTCACCAGTCAAGGAGTTGGTTTCTAAGCAAAGACAAGAGTTTGGTGCCTTTCTCCAGTGGTGTTTGTGGGAAGAATGTGCTTGTTTGGTAAATAGATCTTCTAACACTTGTGCTCTTCCAACACAACAGACTCATCTGTCATCTTCTTTCACATGAATACCCTTTTGTGTATCCATGTAATTAGCCACAAATGGAGGTTTTTGTGTAGTCCATGAGGTTCAAGAAAGGGTCTTAGCAAAGGAGCTAGTTTAAGCAGGTGGAGTGTTGAAGAAAACTGTCAAACAGGAGTCTAAACAGGCAACAAATTTTTCAGCCAGTAACTCATGGTGGCAAGTAAAGGTTGTAGGATTTGGGGACTGGCTGAGCTTCCACATTGCTGCATGTTCATGTTATAGAGAGGAGCTTAGGAAAGCCCTTTTCAGATACCCTCATTTCCTGTTTAAATTCTGCCTATTTTACTTTTAGATTATTTTGTCTGGGGGGACTAAGGAGGACCAGTTTTATATAATTATAAAATCAGATGTAAGGTGAAAACTGTTAGCCTTTTAAAGGCAAACCATGGAATTCATTTTATTTTATCTGATTTTTAAAAAGTGTACTTAGCATTAGTGTTTGTCTGAAGCACATATGTTCCCGTATGTGCAGATGTCTGTGAGCATTTGTGCTTGTGAGTCTGGAGGCCAGAGTTCAACTTTGGGAGTCTTCTTCTCTCATCCCTCCCTTATTTTCTGAGACATTGCCTTTCACTGAACTTGAAGCCTGTCAACTTGACTAGATTGGCTGACCAGTGAACTATGTGTGTATGCCTCTTTTTCCCCAGTGCTGGGGTTACACAGGAGTGGTACAGCCTGCTTTTCTTATGTGGATGCTAGGAATCTGAACTCTGGTCCTCATGCTTGTGTGGTAAGCACTTAACCCACTGAACCATCTCTCTAGTCCCATAAAAGTATACCTTTAAATGTTTCTTTTAGTTAAATAGTACTTAAAACATTCTTGCAAACATTAAATGCTATGTAAATAGAAAAGATATGAGATTTCTGACCCCGTCTTCCATTCAACTTCTCCCCCTGAGGTTAGTCACTTTGAACAGTAGAATGGATCTCCCTCCTGACACTTTCCTGTGTGTACCAACTCGTGCACAAGTGTAAAGATACAATTTTAAAAGATTTTTTAAAAATTTATTTTTATTTTATGTGTATGAGTGTTATGCCTGCATGGTTGTAAGTGCACCCATGTCATGCAGTGCCCACAGAGATCGGAAGAGGGTGTTGGATCCCCTGGAACTGGAGTTCTGGATGGTTGTTAGCTACCATGTGGGTTCTGGGATTTGAACCCGGGTCTTCTGCAACAGCAGCCAGTGCTCTTAAATGCGGAGCCATCTCTCCAGTCCTTAAGAGACAATTTTTAAAGTGCATTAGAGTAGACTAAACACGTGGTCCTGTACTTATTCCTTTCCATGAACAGCATTAACAGTATGTTAGGATTTTGTTCTGGGTCATGACCAATCCTCCTTTTTATTTAAAATTGACATGGTAATAATAGAATCCATATCATTATTTATCTAATTTCATATTAATGGAAATTGTTTTAGCTCAATGTTTTTTCTTTCTTTCTATATTACAAGTCTCATTGGTGCTTAACATTTTCCCATATCACTGTACATGAAGGCATGCCTTTTCAAAATAGATATTCATAATTAAAGTTATTGGGCAAGGAAAATGGCTATTTAAAGTTTGAATGTCATCAAATTACTTGCTCAAAACTATCAGTTTCCATGTTTACCACATCAGCGGATTCAAATGTTCATTTTTCCATTCTCTCCTTAGACACAGGATTTTCAGTACTTGTTAATACAGTAATGAAAAATATGCTCCTGTTTTTATATGTACTTTCTAAATAACCAACATGCATTTTCCAAAATGCCGTTGAAGCTGAAATTTTTCCCCATATGTGCATGAGCTTTTATGTCTGTTCTTTTTGTTCCTTTGTTTTATCTGTGGTTCTGCTGGGACTTGATAAACACGTTCAGCTTCCTGTGGCGTGGCCTGGGCCTTATTGATTGTGCATTATGTGGTCGTTAGAGAACTTGAGTCTTTTGTGGGGCCGAAGGGAACACCTTAAAGGATATGGGGCTCATTTCCCTCCTTGTAGAAGTTTCAGTTTTGTCTAACACTCAAATTTGTTATATACATTTTTTTGTCCGTTAAAAGGAATGAGTCCAGCAAGATCATGTCTGGTTGAAGGTTGGGAGGGGATCTTTCAGTAGCCGAGAGCTGTAGATCTGGGAACGTGTAGTGTTTGTGACATGGTGTGGTATAGCATGCAGAACCGTCCATGAGATGTGACCGGCATGGAAGAAGTAGAAAGTATGATTGAATTGATGACTGCATGGCCCATGGCTGTTATTTTGTTGACATTGATTAATTTAGACATTAGTGAATTAGCTTCTCAAAAGAGAAAGTAATATGCAATATTCCATATGCAGTATGGTTTATTGAAAAATCACATGCAGAAAACAAGACATAAGTGAGAAATAAGTCTTCTAGATGTTGACTATACCAAAGAACATTTTCCCTTTAAGTATATGATTATTCTAGAACTAGGGTTATATGAGACAGGCCCATTATTTTCTTATCTTTGCAGTATCTGCTGTGTTATAATATGTCCCTAACAGAAATCTACTTTTTATTTTACATGATCAACTTTTCTTTTTTCTTTTTTAAAATTGAATGTTTGCAAATTTCATATAATGCAGTTTGATCATATTTAGACCTTCTCCCGTTTGTCCCCCATTACTGTCCAATTAGTCTTCCTATTCCATGACCATCTATTAGTTCCTGACCCCTCTGGATTTTCAAATTGAAACCTGCATAATTAAGATTTCAAAGCTAGCATCCAGCTGTGAGAGAAAACACGCTGTGTGACATTTGTCTGTCTGGATCCTCAATGGAAATCTTGAATGACAGTGGCCTGGAATTAAAAACAAAATTTGAGTTTCTTAAGATTTGTCTAGCTTGATCTGTGCAATTGATGTTAAACCTGATTTCATTATCAATGAAGTGGTAAATTAATATGAGTGCACTTTGTCAATTTTTAGGGATTAAACTTTTCCTCAGTTTAGGAGTAACTTTCATTTTCTTTTATTGATGGATGCAGTAATTTTCCTGGTTTAAAAATGAATGGTCTGGATGTTTTTTTTTTTCTGAAATCAGTTGACATTACTAAAAATTATAGAGTGCTGATGGGATGGTTTAGTGGGTAAAAGTGCTTGCCAGAGACAAACCTTAATGCCTGAGTTTAATCCCTAGAACCTGCTTAAAGGTGAAAGGAGAGGACTGACTCCCAAAAGTTTTTCTTCTCTAACATCCATACACATGCCATAGCATGCATGTGCCTACACATACACAATGATATTACATTAAAAAAAGGATAGAGATAAGAGTTAATGGTCACATGACCAAATTAAGTGGAAAATGTTTTGATGGCTGCTGAAAATTTCAAGCACAGAAGTACAGAAGAAGATATATTTGTTCATACATTTGGTCTGATTTAGCGTCCTGCTGTGACTGGATAATGGCTGACTTCACTTCTCTTGCAAAGCAAACCTCCAGTAAGCAAAATATTATAAAACCACAGGTTATAGCTGTCCGTGCTGCAAACTTGTGCTGCCTTGGGGGACATTCAGACTAACAATGGCATTAGGACTAAATTTTGTTGTAAAGTTTGATACAAGAAGCAGGTTCTAAGTCTAAGGAAGAAGGTGAGTGGGTCAGTGGCTCAGCAGTTTGGTCAAATATTTTCTTTCTATTTGATTCTTAGGTGGTTAAACAAACTTGGATTAGCTGTGATCCATCAAGAATCTACCACAAAAGATGAAGGTATGGTCTATTTCCCACTTCTGACATTTTAGCAAGATTAAGATAGAATGAATTGCGATGAAGTAACAATTCCAGGTTCTATGTATGTAGTCTGATCCTAGTGAAACATAATCTGGCATTTGAAATAACCTAAAGGTAGAGACGGACATCTCCGTACACACGCACCGTGGAGCAGAGTTTCATGCCAGCTCTGAGTGATTTCATGCTTCACTTGAGCAGCTGCAGGCTTCACTGATCCTCAAACAATTGCCAGTGCAAAGGTTTTATGGCCCTCCTTACTGGATTCTTACTCATTGATGTGAATGTGACATGATCTAGTCAGATAACTTTCATCCCACTATTTCCTCTCTGATAGTGTAACATTTCCACCATGTGCATTGACATTTAATTGCCTTGAGAGTGTTCTTGGAGCCTGAAGATCAGACTGGGAGCCACCCAAGTGTTTTTAGCTCAGTTGTGGCTTTCAGAGCTCACAAACTTCAGGAGTCTACTTCTTTGTACTGTAATTGCTCTTTAATGTGGAGACCAGTGAGACTTTTGGTACCAGGGCCACTGCATAGATATTGGCATTAAAATGCTTGGATCATATGATACTCAGACTATATCTTTGATTACAAAATCTTAAATTTAGAAATG